ATTATTTCCCCCTTACATAAATCTGACAAACATCAGGTTATCGATAAATCTGTCAACATCTCATAAAATACCCACTTCCGTGTTAAAAAGTGCCTTTCTGCTATATTTTACACTAAAAGTAAAAAAATATTTCTTCTAATTCCAAAAAAAACTTTAAATCAGTCAATTTTCCTCAAATAAAGTTTCAGAAAAGCATATTTTATATTTGAATTTTTTTATTAAAGGGAATTATGTTGTTGACAGATTTATCAATATGGCCGATTTTAGCATATTCAAAAACATCATTCCAATCAATTTTAAATTCGGTTTGAAATACAGCAAAGTATTTTTAATTATTGGAAATATTAAATTTAATCTATGAAATTAAAACTAATATAAAAGATTCAAGATTTCGCATTTTTAAAATGCATTTTAAACCTTAATTATCGCTTTTTTTATACACACACACACACATATATATATATATATATATATATATATATATATATATATATATATATATATAGTTAAATTGATGTGGGTTTGTGAAACCCAGGTCACAAACTCAAGTCAATCCAACTAAATATGTTAGCGCTATCACTGATACTGAGCGCTTTCCAATAAGTACCTCGCATATATAATATATATATATATATATATATATATATATATATAAATTATATATATATATATATATATATATATATATATATACATTTTTATACACACACACACACACATATATATATATATATATATATATATATATATATATATACAGGTAGAAATCCGTTGGTATATAATCCAAGTGAATCCTATTAACAGAATATAAAATATTAAATATAAAATATTAAAACTGATTCACACATAGAACACAATATTTTTATAATAAACCGAGCAATATATTTCATATAATCGGAATTAGGATACCATTATGTAAATGATCATTTTCCCCTTGTAAAATTAAATTTACAGGATTTACTATTTGGAAAATCCTGTAAATTTAATTTTACAAGGTGAAAATGATCATTTACATAATACTACCTTAATTCCGATTATATATATATATATATATATATATATATATATATTAACTCAATAATTTATATGTATATTTATTAATAATTATATATATATATATATATATATATATTAATTCAATAATAATTTTATGGCATAGACAACTTTTATGCCAGAAGGCTAATTTTGGATAGACTCTATTTAGAGCTGCTTATTCAAACCTTGGAAATATATATATATATATATATATATATATATATATATATATATATATATATATATATTGTCGGCATTAAATAACCCATTGAGGTGTTGATATACCGTAAAACAAACCAAACCAAATCAAACACGTTCCGTTGACTAACAAGGGAAAATTTGATGAATTTTTATTTAGTTTTTCCAATATTCTCATATTTTTTCCGTTTGGTGGGAGTAAGGAAGTGCAAAAATTGTCCGTATTGTCCCATGTTCCAAGCGCTTTTGATCACTTCATTAGCTATTTTCAAGAGTTTTTTTTTTTTTTAAGTATTGCTAATTTTTTTTATGTTTGTCTGTTTAAGATGTAGTTTTTGTTTGAATAATCGTAGCTTTTATTTCCGTGCTTCGCGGGTTGAGCGTGGGTGGAATTCGAGTTGACGTTTTTAAAAAAAACTCCAACACGCCATTTCCGCTGATGAATAAGATGATATTTATACTGGGTACCAGATGTTTTGTGTACAGGGCGACTCTAACAGCTAAATGTTTTGGGTAATAGGGCCTATATAAAATATTAATGTTATGGGCCCGAATCTTCCTTTTTGTCCATTCTTTGTCTATATCATAGATTCTCCACGCATAGCGATTTACGAGGTTCGGTTAAGTCTGGTACAATCGGTCTCATTGCCAGGAGAAAACAGACATAAATTGTAACGGATTGCTTCCTTCGAAAATGACCATTGGAACTTTTTTTTGCGTAGGCTCGAACACTGACCTATGTACATATATAATCAGATTGCAATTAATCGTTGTTTTTTGTTGTTCTTTTATTCTCATTATTCGCGTGTCTCGCCATCAATCAATCATTTTGATGATCGATACCGCCCGTACTTTTTGTGACGCCTTGTCTTCTTTCCACACTTCAATTTGATCGGCACGTGTTTCTCTTCCCTCCACCAGATGGCGCCACAGCGACACTCAGGTTCCTGACAGCACAGCACCGGACAGTAGACTTTAATAATTTTACTTGACAGTTAACGGTCGCCCTTTGCCTCTTGTCGTTGCTTCCTTCCTATTTAAATCCCAGACTTATCAGCTTTTCATTTTAATGCGTACCGACTGCCATTGTCAAGGCGAGAGACGCGTGAAGTGTTCAGAGAAAGCCAAATAAAATGATAACTGACCGTGCCGATAGTAAATTAGCAGCAACAAAGTGGACGTCACTTGTTTTAACACAATTTCCACTAATTATTAATAAACAGGGAAGAAGGTTGTGTCGTCTGCTGGCTTAGGGCGGCCAGCATCGTGAAAGGCGGGACATAAAATTCGTAATGGAAGGCATAGGCAAGAAAGAAAAAGCAATGAAATTATTAACAGAAGCCAGACGCGTCTTTTTTCTACATATTAAAAAGAGATAGGCAAAGAAGAATAAAAAAAATTCTGACACGAAGAATCTTGTTCGTTTTGCAGGTATACAACAAAAATTACTATACATACGAACTCTTGGTTTATTTCACCTAAAAAACGAAGCTAAGTGAACTAGAAGTTCTACCAAAATTTATTATTAATGGACGCGATTTTAACAATATAAGGTACGCAGATGACATCGTATTGATAGCAGACAGAGAAATAAAATGGCAGAAATATGTAGATTAGTAAAGGAAAGCGGGAAAAAAGGTACCAGAGATAAAAACCCACCAGAACAGATGCATAATTAGAGCCTTCTCACTCTTTGAAGGAACCATGTCATCAGGGGTGTAGCCGTACTCAGGACCGGTGCCTATTACCCCCTGGACCCCAAGACCCAAGCATGATTGGGGGCCCGGGCTGTGCTCTGTGACCCTCTCTATCTTAACATTTGCTTTTTTCTACCTATATTTATATACGTTTCAAATTAAACGAAGCACAATTGACTATTAAATGGATGAAAAATTTTCGTCGATTTTTGACATCATTTAAGGATCTTCATTTTTTTTTTTTCGTTCAAATCCGCGAATTTGCTTTGCTCATGCTAAGTCTCGGAAAAACACTGTATAAAATTCACTATTTTTTACCCCGAATGTGTTAAAATTGTTCAACCTTTCAACAAGAGAAAATCCCAAGTTGATGTAAAAATTACTGCAAAACATCGTTGATCTATTTAAGATGGAATGATCTATTGTCATGTTTCTAATTTGTATTTAGATACATTATATTTATTTTCAATTTTTCTAGTTGAATTGTTCACCTATATTGCATATGATTCATTATTGTACATAATTAGGTTACAATAAAATTTGTATTTTATATGAATACTACCTTATAAAAAATTGAGATGAGTAAATGGGGAACTCCGTATCATAGATTCAGGGTGGGGGCACGAGGCCCTTGCACTGGCTCTGCTAACAAATAAGGGCTATAAGAAAATAGGAGTTGCCTTACACAATCATCAACCACTGACAAACAGAGCCAGCACGTACTACCCTCTCGTCCGGAGGAGGGGGGGCGCACTGATTGGGGGCCTCGGGCAGGGCTTTGTAACCCCTACCCTCACTATCTTATCAACATTTGCTTCTTTTTTTTCTACCGACATTTATATACGTTACAAATTGAACTAAGCACAACTATTAAACGATGAAAAATTTTTGGCAAATTGTGACATCATTCTGGGGTCTTTTTTCGTCAAAATCCGTGAATTTGTCTTGCTCATTCTAAGTCGAAAAACAAACCAAGAATAAAAACTATATAAAATTCATTATTTTTTATCCATAATATTGAATGTGTTAAATTACTCAACTTTTTAACAAGAACAATCTCAGTTGATTTTTAAAATTGTTGCAAAATTGTTTATTTAAGATGGAATGATCTATTCTGACATGTCTCTAATTTGTATTTAGATACATTGTACTTATTTTCAATTTTTCAAGTTGAATTACCCATCTATATTGCATATGATTCATTATTGTACATAATTAGGCTACAATAAAATGTGTATTTTATATAAATACTACCTTATGATAATTGAAATCTATTAGAATGAAGGCCTGTATTATAGCTCGGAAAACAAGATCATTGTACCGGCATTGCTTGGAGTGATCTGATATTTAGTAGACATTTTTTCTGGCCACTAGTTTAGAGCCACCACTTCAATAGTAAAGATTAGTTTTCTAACTATTGTTTATAAATATGTACAGTAAAATAGTCTGACACAAAGCCACACGTGTGAGTTGTTTTGTCAGAATGAAACGTATTACAATAGTCAGAGGCTACGAAACTTCTGTTAACCACTGGCAACCCTTACTCTGATATTTTCTAGGCTTAATAAGTCTGGCACAAGGCCACATTTTGAGGGCGCTTTGCTAGGGTCTAACGAATTACTCGAGTTATAGATTAGTCCTATCAATCATTGGTAATCATTGATGTGAGATTTACTAAGCTTTTCTTAGTCTCACGTAATTGTGGAGCGCATTGTTAGGATCTGGATAGGTTCACCTATCGTCCGGTTTACACTCCTCCCCAGCCTTTTGAACTGGAGTAAAGGTTTATCCCTTGCTCCTTGTTTAGGATTGAGTTTTCGATTCATTCTAAAGTCTTCTCGTTCTTTTTCACTCCCAGTAATCCCTTGCGTCTTAGTGGCATTATCGCCTTGCTTGAAATTATTTTAAAAAATGCGCTATAGTTTTTATTCGCCACCCAACTAGTGCTGTTAACCATTGGTAACCATTGTTTGGCCTAGTATGGCACAAGGCCACAAATAAAAAAGCACCCAATGAGCGGTGACCACACTATTCAGTTGGAAACTATCATGCTAAAATGTTACCCAAAATATGGCCGCTATCCGACCCAACACCATCATGTCAGCATATTTTTCTCGCTTGACTTTTTTTTTTTTAAGCCGTTTTGATAATCAACCGGTCAGGGGAGATATTAACTGCAGCCAATTAGAGTGCAACCGGAACTGCTTCACCACGATACGATATCAAGTGTCTCGTGCCAATGTCCGGCATTGCAGCTGGCCGGACAAAACTGATATGCCACATGCGCTAAATAGTATCGGTCCAGACCGTCAGTTGTCATGCGACGCGGTCGTACCGTGTTCCACCTTCCCCGCTATCAGCCTGTCATTTACAGCCACTTCCGACGGCCACTTCCGGCAGGCACTGAGCGAAACTACATCACGGCGTCCTGCAACGTCACGCACGGTGATTTCTTATCAAGAATTCGAATGCACAGCTGAATTATCCCTGCCTTTTTTTTTTTTTTTTTTTTTTTTTTTAGCCATGGCTTTGAACAGAAACCTTCCATTAGAAGCAAATCAGATTGGGTCAAAAGCTATTCTTAACAAATATTCAGAAACTATGTACATTTTTAAGAGACTAAAATTTGAATGGCACTTTACAATACGCACCTTGGGGCATTTCGACGTGGTTTAATGGTTAGCAAGCTGGTCTCGATAGATCAATTGCGATTGAATAATAAGTTCGATCCCCACTGGTAGCCCAATATTTTCGCCCTTATGCCACATCTAATCTACGCTTCGAAAACTATTTTCGACACTTTGATGTAGTGTCATGTTTAGCAAGCTTCTCTCGCTAGATCAATTACAAATCCCTTTGTTTTGTCCTACTGAGTGGCCCATGTTTTCGGCCTTGTGCCACACCTGAGCCACGCTGGGAAAACTCCCGACATTTCGAACGGAAATCATCTTTACATTCAATTTTTTTTTCATATTGCTCCAAATTACGAATATCGTGATTTTTTATTAAATTTTATAAAAGTAGGGGGTAGTCCGGTTAGCGACGTCAATACATTGTAAATTGAACCGCCAGCCCACTTCACAATCCAAAGACTGACGACCACAACACATTGAAACAGAGTTTCTCGGAAGATCATCGAGGTTAAGCAACATCGAATCTGGTCAGTACCAAGATGAATGACCGGCTGTGAATACCGGGCGTTATAAGCTTGGACGTGCGGGTGGTATAAAGAACTTACGGTCATATCATATTGAAACACCAGTTCTCGTACGATCCCCGAGGTTAAGCAACGTCGAACGTGGTCAGTACCAAGATGGATGACCGCTTGTGAATACCAGGCATTGTAAGCTTGGATGGGTGATGTGCGGATGACGACTCGAAATGAAAAATCGGAGAGCTGAGTTCGAATTCCAGTCGGGTTTGTTATATTCACCTATGCGCAAATATCCTTGGGTGATCATGACTCAAGAGAGACATGATCGTGTCACAAGCGTGTCACATCCACCCCTCTCCAACACGCACTGAGTCAGCATCGTAGAGAAATGGCTGATTTCTCCCCATGAATCTGGGAAGGCTAACGTCTGACAAAGGAGCTTCACATGCTGAGATACAATACGATACGAGGTACGGCAGCCGAAACAAAATATGCTCACCTGACTTGATTTCTTTCTTTTTAATTTCTTTCTTTTTTAATTCGGATTCTAGAGATTTGGGGGGGTATTTTTTAAATACATTGCTATCGGTTAAACACTCCATTTTATGAATTTTTATATATATATATATATATATATATATATATATATATATATATATAAAGTGAACATAGAAGTCAACACTCAGACGATTGCGTCTAGCATGAAACAGCCTGTCGCCTCTGAGTGTTGACTTTATGTTCACTTTCATATTTATATTCACATACGCTCTATGATACTGAGCACTGTATCCCATAAATATAGCACACCTTAAAACTATATTTTTTTCATATATATATATATATATATATATATATATATATATAAATTCATGAATCATTCATGCAATAAAACAAATAGATTTCGGATTACATCTCCATTTTCGTTGTCCTCTTATTACCGAGAAGTAAAAACAAGAACAAAATCTATTTCCATATCTGAGGATGTCTGTAGGAACAGACGAAAGCTTGTAAAAAATTAAAAAGACCTTATGCAACTGTAATTTATAAACAGGGATCATATCATTCAAATACAGGTTCGGGGTTGATGTATCTTATTTATATTGTTTGCGAAGATGTATTCTCGCCATTTAAATCATTAACCTCTCTATTTGTTTTATTGTATGAATGATTCATGAATTTATAAATTATAATTGCACCTATAATTTGAAATATATATATATATATATATATATATATATATATATATGACGATCGCTAATAGCGTGAAACCCAAGGTCACAAACTCACATCAATCCAACTAAATATGTTAGCTCTTATTCACTGATATTGAGCGCTTTCCAATAAGTACCGCGCATATAATATATATATAAATAATATATATAAAAAAAATTTCACACACACACACACACACACACATATATATATATATATATATATATATATATATATATATATGCATCATATATATATATATATATATATATTTTACTTTTTAAGCAATCACGTATTATAGGCATATTTTGTTTTGGCTTACGTAGGGGGGAATCAATTTACAATAAATTGTCATGGCAAAGTGCCCCCCCCACATTAACTTTTATAAAATTTAATAATTAATATTCGTTATCTCGAGAGCTTCATCAATAGTAATATGAAGAAAAAAAGAAAAAAAAATTTAAGGAAATGTTGATTTTTGGTCACAGTGCTTCTTGTATAACTCTACCAACTATATCTTGCATTCTTCTTCTTCGTGTTCCGTCTCCCCTCAGCAATCAAGCGATCATGGCTCTCCACAATTTCCTGTCCTTGATAGATCTTAAAAAATTTTGTTGTTTTGTTATTTCTCCCAAACCCTGTTCCGCCATCTATTTGCGGCAAACTCACTAAGTATGTCATACGCTGTTTTCCTCTGTCCTTCTTGCCTTCGGTCTGTCATGTGAGTATCAGATTTTCCAAGCCCTCTTTCCTCATTATGTGCCCTACAATCCTCAACTGTCTCTTCCTGATGTTAATTATTCCATTTTTTCTAAAACGTCATCGTTTCTCACATATTCAGCCCATGGTATCCTCAGCATTCTTCTGTAGAACCACATTTCTGTTATTTTAAATCTCTTCTTCATCTTTAAAGAGATTGGTCGGCATTCACAGCCATATACGAATATAGATATCACATAACAGTTCAGTAGGCTTTTCTTTGTTTCTAACGAAGTTTTCCTGTTTCTCAGTACTTTGCTTAACTTTTGGGAAGCATCTTTGGTAATCTAAATGCACCTTCGGATTTCAGTGTCAGACTTTTTGTCCTCTGTTAAAACACTTCCCAGATATTTAAATTGTTGTACTTGTTTGATTTTGGTATCTCCAATTTGTAATTTGGGCTCATCCTTTTGCTAACAACCATGCATTCTGTCTTCTTGCAGTTGATGTTTAGTCCTTTCTTCTCGCTTTCCTTTACTACCTTCGGTAGTTTTTGGGGCCATTAATACCCTAAACAGAAGCCCAAATAGATATTTGCACAAGTTAGCTTGGTCTCACAAACCGAGCCCCAAGTGAAGATCTAAATCAGGCCATAACGTTTGAGACTAAAGAAAGATTTGCGGAAGATTCTGAAAATGTAAGGCCGTGGTTGAAGGCAAGTGGCGGTTTTATTGAATAAATTTACTCTTTGGTATTTCAAGATATTTTTGTGCAATTTTGATAAATATAACTGTTAAAAATGAGATGTCAGTGATATTTAAACGACAATTTATTCACTGCACCATGTCTTTGTATATATATATATATATATATATATATATATATATATATATATATATATATATATATATATATATATATATATATATATATAAGAAATGGACAAAGTCCGACAATTTATTTATTAAAGACATTTTTATGTTTAACGTTCTTTTTTATAGATACAAGTATTTAAGTAAATGCTCTGTTTATAATAAACAGTATTAAATAACATTTACCGGCCTGAATGTCCGAGAAATTTTCATAGAATGCAGGTTCGAATCCTGTCAAAAGATTAATATTTTCTATGAAAACTGTTTCTATGTAACTGTTGTGTCATCGGCTATATTTCTAAATATATGAACATTTTTTGCTACGTTTACATTTGCATGGCACAAGGCTACATGAGATGAGCACCATAAGATTTATGGTCATATAAGATTTATTCGATGGCAGACACCCTTTCTCCCGCACAAATGTATACTAATAATATTTAGTACATTTTCGTATAATTAAATAGTGAGGTTTTACTGCTAGAAATAGTATATGACAAAACAAACACCCAACGTTGCCCTCATCAAACACTATAATGGTATTCCAAAGGCATGACAACACGACCAAACTTTACAATGATTTTTCAAAGGTATGGCAACGCAAATGATGGTGGGAGAGCTACCAATAACGTTAAGCCTAATACTACCAAAGTCTACAATGGTATGCTAAAGGTATGACAATCCAAATGACGGTGGAACGGCTTACCAATAAACCTAAGCCACATATGACCAAACTTTACAATGATTTGCCAAAGGTATGACAACGCAAATGATGATGAGGCAGCTACCAATAACGTTAAGCCTAATTTCACCAAAGTCTACAATGGTATGCCAAAGGTATGACAACGCGAATGACGGCTACTAGCAAACTTAAGGTGAGTGTCTTTTCGAAGAGCTTTAACAAGAACGAGAACGCCAGAAAACTGAGATCGAAATCTTTTCGACAATATCGATCTGTGGAATCCTGTCCATTGAACCTCATTAACTGGTAAATCGTAAGTAAGTTCGGACGACTTATGGCAGAAAATGATTTTACACTTTACCAACAAATGTATTTCTCGTGAAACGAAATTCTTGCAACTAATATTTGATTAGAATATATCGTCTTTGATGACGCAATTGTTTCGTTTTATTTACATCTTGTGTGCGCTTGTGTACACGTATGATATCTTGTGTAGAGCGTAGTCAAGTCTGGTACAAGGCCACAAGGTGAGTATCGGTCTCACTGTAGTAGTCATGGTCTGTGAGAGTAGGTTGTTAAACATTACTCAATAATGGTTGGAGAGATTGAATATCAGTAATTTTATATATATATATATATATATATATATATATATATATATATATATATATATATATATATATATAATTTGTGAGAACTAAAGATACAAGCTATGGAGTCTTTAAACTTACCGAACTTTTCCCATTTTTTTTTTTTTTTTTTTTTTTTTTTTTTTTTTTTTTTTTTTTTTTGGTAATTATTGCTAACTGTGGATGATGAGTGGATTATGAATATAGAGCTAACCTTGAACGGAAGTCTCTGGTTGCTGCTATTACATTAAGACTTTGTCAAATCCAGTCTTATTTGACGTTAACGATGGAAATCTCCTGGGTCTCGCCCGGATGTGACTCTCGGCGCTCTAAAAGGCGTCCATTAGTTTCAGATGGTATTTCAAAATGCAAATGAAGAGTTGAAAATTTTATTTCGAAGACTCGCTTCTTGTTACTAAGGAAAACCATGATGCGTATGTGTGTATCTGTGTATGTCTGTGAGCGTATGTGATAATGTGTATGTATATACATGTGTAAGATACAAAGAGTGCGTTTATACATGTGTAAATGGGAAAAGGAGAGATATTGTTTGTGTCAGTGTGCGAAAAAGAATTTATTTAAGAAAGAGATTGTGCATGTGTATGTGTGTACTCATATCTGCGTGTTATATATATATATATATATATATATATATAACAGTCTGTCTGTGGATGACTATATATATATATATATATATATATATATATTATCATCCACAGAGAGACTGTTTCGCTGTATCACAGCTCTTCAGTGTGGCTAGACGTCCGGTTGCCTCTAGATTCCTAGACGACTCGAGAAGCTGGTAGCGAAATCTGGTACCCATATCGAATTTTAAATAAATCCTCATGCTAAACGCTTTCCTCTCAGATCCATTTCTTGTAAAAATTATAGCTAATAAATAAATTTTAAGAATTTTAAAATGGGAAGTTACTTTTCAATTACACTATATATGTATGTGTGTGTGCGCGCGTGTGTATATATATATATATGGCACAAGGCCGAAAGTATGGGGTACCCAGTGAATATATATATATATATATATATATATATATATATATATATATATATATATATATATGCAGGTTATTTAAAGCCAGGACATATTTTAAGATTTTTGGGAGATAATAATGGTTTACTGATACACGTCTTACTTATTAACCCATAGAATCAGTATGAGAATGACCTTTTTTTTTTCTTAGAAATTTCTTTCCAATATGAGGGTGCGTCTTCCAAGCCGCGGCGTCTTGTAAACCGGAAAATACGTATTTTTAAATAGACAAACAATTTAGATACCAAACTTGATCATCTTACAGCGAAGAGACAGATACCTAACTAGACTTATAATAAAGCCGAGGAAAGTGGTTCAAACGAGTCATTATATTCTTGTAGCAACACTTCTGAGAGAAAGCCGGAAACCACGACGGCCAAAGCGTTGAAATGATGTTGAGTCGAAGAAACTGGCTCAAAAGAATCTCTGTATGGTAAGAACACATTGTTTAAAAAATTCAGACACAAACTGTGTGTGTAGATGTATTTGTGTTTCTTAAGTGTGTTTATTAAGTGGGTAACTGCTTTTAGTGTGTCAATGTTAGCCTTAAACTAAAAACTCAGCTTCGCTAAATTTTCCCAATTCTATACATTTTTATCAAATCCTCCAATTTCCCGGAAAATCTGACTCACTCAATTTTTCTTAGGCGGGACTTTTTACCTCACAGCCTTTGACACAAGCAATTTTTCAATTAAAAAAAAAATGGTTTTAAAAGTCATTTTTCCGTTAGCGTTCATTCTTTCCTCAGCAGGGGTCGGATGGAGGTGAGGCAGTCTCTTCTCTGCCCCTAAGACAGACCATTTCAAGCCGTTCTTTTGTATACGTTCGACGACAACTGGTCCTTTAAAGACCGACGTCTTTTTAGGGCTCATGTTAGTCGAAAGGAGAAGAAAAAGTCTTATAGTGCTTCAGACACTGTCTTAGTTCATTGCTACAGTTTGTTCGTTTGTTTGTTAGTTATATTTAATTTGACTTTTTTTTCTTTTTTTTTTTTTTACATGCTAGTGCGAGGATTTGACGAACTGACTAATCAGGTCGGCGCACGTGCCAGACTCCAGTAACGAAACAAAGGGCGTGTTTTCGGCAATTTTTCTGACGAAGACGAAGAGAATTACAAGATAATGTCGAAATGTCCCCCTTTATCATAATCGGTATCAGACTTATACACGCCCTTTTTTATTATTTTTTTTTCCTCAACAAAATGTCGACACAACCATTACCACCAAAAATACTGTCATTTAACAAAAGAAAAATGTCGATTCCGCCATCATCGTATCACAATGCCATTATTAATTAGCATAATTAGTTCAAATAATCATTCGGTTATGGCTCTCCGCAGTTTCCTATCCATTGTGGCTCTTAATAAATGCTATGGGGGGGGGGTATTTTAAACCTTGTTTTAGTATTTCATTTCTGAAATAAGTAATTATAAATAAGGACGAATGGTTTCGAACGAGCCGGTGGCGTAGTGGATATAGGAGTTGGTTATACAAGTATTACTGTCATCTAGTGATTATGAGTTCAATCCTTAGTACTGGCAATGACGTACGAACAATAACTGATATCACTGAGGCAAAATATCGCAAAAATCAACAGATATCCCATATCGGCTAATGACGATAACCGGAGGGTACTTGGTCAAAACATTGTATCTATAACCTCTCTCTATATATATATAGATATATAGATAACCTCCCTCTATATATAGATATATAGATAACCTCTCTCTATATATATAGATATATAGATAACCTCTCTCTCTATATATATATAGATATATAGATAACCTCTCTCTATATATATATAGATATATAGATAACCTCTCTCTCTATATATAGATAACCTCCCTCTCTATATATAGATAAAAAGATAACCTCTCTCTATATATATAGATATATAGATAACCTCTCTCTCTATATATAGATATATAGATAACCTCCCTCTCTATATATAGATATATAGATAACCTCCCTCTCTATATATAGATATATAGGTAACCTCCCTCTCTATATATAGATAGATACGTAAGGTTTTAAATGAACAATTTTTCTTGAAGCTTTCAATAGATTAAAGTTAATGTTTCCAAAAGGGAAAATACTTTGCTCTATTTCAAAACTAATTTAAATTGACTGGAAGGATATTTTCTTAAAAAAAAAAAAATACTAATTTCAGCGCCATTTTAACCCGCGTTTATCACAACGTAATTCTCTTTATTAGAAAAAAATCTTCCAAAAATGAAATATAATTCATTCAAACTTTATTTGAGGAATATCAGCTGATTTAAAGTATAATTAATGATTTGAAACAAATATTATTTACTTTAAGTTTAAAAGTGTCGCACAAATGCATTTTTAACACGTCGGTAGCTATTTATTTAGCATCTTGACATGTTGATAGATTGATGACAGATAGATGTTTATCTAATGTTTTTCTACAGGGATTTATCAGTAAAAAATAATTGAAGAATCTATCGTCAGTGCCTTTTTTATATAATTTTTAAGTACTCAGTAATTTTAAAAATTTAGGAAAATATTTTTCGTAATCTGATGTTTTACTGAATTTTAAATACTTTGGCTTTAAATTTACTATATTTATTGTTTTATTTTCTGATAATGCTGCGTAGGAACAGCCATATCTACAAAATAATCGACACGTTTATACACAGAATAAAATTATTTTAAAAAATTCGTGTATGATGAATTGTAATAAGCTTTTTAATTCATAATTAGTAAATATAGTTTTTATTTAATAATAATCTTACTTATTATAAAACGCAGATTGTGTGTGTGTCTGTAACGTTTATATATTGGATCGGATTTCCTACATTTTTCAACCGATTTCAACAAAACTTCACAGGACTACATAAAATTACCTTGTGGTGGTTCTAACAGCGCCAAAAATGGGAAAAATATAATTGTTTTTGCACAAAATCAATTTGAAAACACGATTAAGAGACATCGTGAAAATGGAAGGAGACAACTCACATCGGATTTTCTATATTTTCAGCCGATAAAACAAAACTTCACTTTTTTTTTTTTTTTTGGCAGGTAGTGTTTCTTATTGTCTTGCACACTTTTTTCTTTATTTTTACATTCAGAATGCTTTAAAAACTCCATTTACAAGACAATTATTTATAATAAAATTCAATCGGGAGACTCATAACGATTGAAAACAATGTTTTTGTTCGAGTTTGAGTTTGACCAATTCATAAAAAAAAAAAAACTAATTAAGACATGCGTGTCCGTCAACCTTAAACAATAATCTTTGTCAATTTTATTTTTCAGTCTTTATGATTGTGGATACTTGATCTATCTCTTACTGTTATATCCCCGGGCAACGCCGAGTTCTACTGCTAGTATCATCTAAAATGATGAAAATAATACAGAATATTAAAAGATTTAAAACTTAATAAATTATTTTTTAAAACATGAAAGCAATTTATGATGAGATGTAGGAAAGATAGCGGTTAACAATTGACTTGAACAGGGTAAGATTACAATGACAAGGAAATAACGCTCTCAGCTGACTCTTCCACAAAGAAGCGGTGTTCTCTGCTATCTACTTAGTGTCTTATAGCATTTAAAGCATCTGATGAATTTTTATGTAATCAAATTGTTCCACAGAGATTTTCTCCCAACCAACACCCAAACTCTGAACTCTGAGGAAGGTTTGGTTTTCTATAAATGTTCATGGTATTCTCATCATCCTTCTGTAGAACCACATTTCTGTTGCCTCACTTCTCGTCTTCACCCGTGATGAAACTGTCCAGCATTTGGTGACATATAGGAGGGCTGGTAATTCATATCAGTTCAGTAATACTTTCTTTGTTTCTAACTAGATTTTCTTGTTTCTTTATACTTTGCTTAGCTTTGGGAAGGCTTCTTTCGCTATCCCAATGTTCCTTGAAATTTCGGTGTTTGACTTTCCTTCCTCTGTTAAAATACTTCCTAGATATTTAAATTTTTGTACTTGCACTCTTTCATATACATAGCAGTTTGTGGGAAGAAACCATTTGAGTGGAATTTGCTTCTTAATAAAGGAATACAGTTCCAGAAAGTAGCGGTTCTAGTACTAGTTAAAAAACCTAAAGTAGCGGTTTTATACTAACGTCATTAAGATTGTAGCTACCAATAATGAATTAGTAAGTAACTTGTAATTACCAAGCAACATATGGGTTCCCATATGACATAATAAATTGGTACCTTGCCTTTAATTACCAAAACAAGATATGGATTCCTATATAGCAGAAACCCTGATTTCCCATTCTTACCTACTTCTTGTCCAAGGTTAATCATTATCTATCCTCCTTATTTTTTTACTAATTTTTCATCTAATACAATGTTTGAGAGCCACTCAAGGTAGAGGGTTATTGAATGAGGTTGTTATAAGGGTTTTAAGAGGAGGAAGTAAGAAGTGCAGACTATTGATGAAATGTAGGAAAGATAATGGTTAACCTTAGACTTGAAGAGGTTAAGATTATAGTGATCAGGAGAGCATCCTCTCGGGTGACTGTTCAACAAAGAAGCGATGTTATTTGCTACTTACCTAGTGCCTCATGGCATATAAGGCCTCTGAAGAAGTTTCTGTAATCGGATTGTTCCACAGGAGGGGGTAATTGCCCGCAACACTCAAATTCCATACTCTGACGAAGGTTTAGTTTTACTAAGCCAGCCACGTATTCCCATGCTAATGAGTCCCATCTACTCGACATTAGGGATTTACATAACAATTCAGTAATTTTTTCGCAGTTTCTAACGAGATTTTCCTATTTTTTTCATACTTTGGAAGAATCATTGCATAATAAACAATTAGGCTTATATTTTTTTCTCCTACACTGATATAAAGGGTTCTATATCCCAACTTCTTAGAAGTTGAACTCCAACTTCACGAGGTCAGACAATCCCTGGTTCCTCCTCTTTCTTCTTCTTCTATGGAATGTTTTCCTTCAGGACGATCATGGCTCTCCACAATTTCCTGTCACTTGTCGTTCTTAGTAAATTTTGTCTTTCCACTATCTCTTGTAATCTTCTAAGCATTTACACAAATTCATAACACAGGTTATGCACTGCTTTCCTCTGTCCTTCTTGCCTTCAATATGTCCTGGGTGTATCAAATTCTTCAAGCCTCCTTTCCTCATTATGTATCCTAAAAATTTCAACTTTCTCTTCCTGATGTTAAGCATAAGTGTCTTTCTTGTTTCTTTATCTCTAAAATTTCCTAATTGTTTATATGTTTAGTTAACGGTATTCTCAGCATCCTTCTGTAGAACCACATTTCTCTTCTTCATCTGTGATGAGACTGTCCAGCACTCACTGCTATATAGAATGACTAATATTACATAACAGTTCAGTACTCATTATTTTTTCTAATGAGATTTTTCTGTTTCTTTATACTTTGCTAGTTTGGTTTGGTTTGGTTTGTTTTACGGCATGTCAACACCTCAATGGGTTATTTAATGCCGACAAGATTTTTATTGCTGCTAATATTTTTTTCCGAAAATGTATTGCTGGCAAGATTTATTTCTTCAAAAATGTATTTCTAGTAATAATTTTTTAACAATAAATTTATTGCTGGTATTAAAACCTATTTTTACACTTTCATGGTGTTTTGACACCAATTTGGGGGTTAACTATTTGCCGATAGTTGGGACCCTAACAGGTGCTACCACTCCGGGTCAGGGTGGACCTGGGAACACCAGCAATTAAGAGTTGGTTCCACGCCCCTCAAAACCTCCTGATCAGAGGCCTTGCTGTCGAATGCTTATTGTCTTACTCAAGATGCTATACTTTGCTTAGCTTTTGAAAGGCGTTATCACAATCCCAATGTACCTTCGGATTTCAGGGTCACACTTTCCATCCTGTAATAAAACACTTCCAAGATATTTAAATTTATGTGCTTGCTTAACTTTGGCACCTCCAAATGGTAATTCGCATATTGGGCTCTTCTTTTTGCTGACAACCAAATATTCTATCTTCTTACGATTGATGTTTAGTGCTTTTTTCATCATTGCTTTCCTTTACCATCTTCTAAAGAAGTTTCCTTTCTGTTTCTGCTATTAACACGGTGTCATATGCATACCGTATAAGATATGTTAAGATTGTAACTGTTAATAATGAATTATTAACTTGCCTTTAATTACTAAACAAGATATGAATTCCCATATGACAGAGAAACTGATTTCTCATTATTAACCTATTCTAGTCTAAGATCAATTATTATCTATCTTCCTTATTTTTTTAAGTTTTTAATTAATTTTTTATCCAGTACAATACTCAAGAGCCACTCAAGGTAGAGGGTTATTGAATGTTGTTGTTATAATAAAGGGGGTAAGGACAGGAGGTAAGAAGTGCAGTTCATGATGAAATGTAGGAAAGATAATGGTTAACCTTAGACTTGAAGAGGTTAGGATTGTAGTGATCAAAGAAGCATCCTCTTAAAAGACAGTTCCTCAAAGAAACAGTGTTATCTGGTATCTACCTGGTCCTTCATGGCACATAAGGCTTCTGATGAAGTTTCTGTAATCAAATTGCTCCATGGGCTGGGGTGAATGGTCCAACACCCAAATTCCGTACTCTGGGGTAGGTTTGGTTTTCTATAAAGATTCTCAATACTGTGTCATATGCATACCGTATGTTGTTAAGATTGTAGCTACGAATAATGAATTGGCAATTGACCTTTAATTTCAAAACAAAATATGGCAGTGACTCTACTTTTCCAGCTCTTCTAGCTCAGGGTCAATCATTATCTACCCTCCTTCTGAAGAAGCTGTTTGGATTGAATTTCTTTCTTACTAATTGAATATGGAGAGAAGGGAAATGGTTCGTTCTAGTTTACGCGCCATGGCAATTGACCTACTGAGAAAAGTAGATTCTACCTTTCCCAAAGATATTCGGACCAAATTCAATATACCCTACACATATAGATCCTAAAAGAACTAGAAAATCTACCGGAATTTGTTATCATAAACTCAAGATACACTATGACGTTGTGTTGATGTCATACCCAGAAAAGAAACAAAGGCACATCCCTTAGACAAGGTAGAAAAAATAATCAAGACGAAAGTTTCACCAAGAAATCGAACAACTGGCGAAAGAACGGCAAAGACAGCTCATAAGCGACGCACTTTTTATGTTTCTATTAATTTTTTATTAAACCGATCATTGACCAACATTATTATTAATTTAATCTAATATTTATTTGGATCTTTATTTTTTAATTAGATGAAGCATTGTCAGCCATTATTATGAATTTTTGACTAGTATTTATGTTCGTCTTTATTTTTGATTAGATGAAGCAATGTCAGACATTACTACGAATTTTTCTCTAGAATTTAATCTTCAATTTTGACAAGATGAAACAATGTCAGCCATTAATTTTTGAGTAGTATTTACTTACGTCTTCATTTTTATTAGATAAACCATTTTCAACCATTATTATGAATTTTTGACTAGCATTTGTTTTCATCTTCGTCAGACAGTTTTATTAATTTTGACTACTATTTACTTTCATCTTCATCTTTATTAAAGAAAGCATTGTTAGCCATTATTACCATTTTTTTACTTTTATCATTAACTATTATTATTAATTTCAGACTAGTATTTACTTTAGTCTTCATTCTTTATTAGATGAAGAATTGTCAACCATTAATATGGATCTTTTATTAGTATTTACTTTAATCTTAAGCCTTTACTTGCTTCTTATCGATTAAAAATGAAAATACTTTTCATTCAGCCTAAAAGAGAGATAAATAGACGTCATTAGATAATTAATTTAGCCAATAGAAATGCTGTCGTCTACCTCAGTTTATCCAGGCTAAAAACTATTAAATCAATTAGATATTTTGCCTATTCTAAATATGGGGTTTCACCTCACTTCTTCATCTGTGGGAGGACCCATGGCGCTGATATAAACCAGGGAATCCCCTGTCTGCCTTCCTTTCTTCAGTGCAATATGTCTGCCTGTCAACGTGAGGCTCGGTGACGTCACATCCGTTACAAGACGTGGAATAGTGGCAAATAACTTGAACACATTAAGATGGCTTAGGTGAATTTCTTCTCGTTTTGTAAGGGAGCAATGTCGCGGTGAAAGGGTTGGGAAAGGAAAGCGAGCACTGAAATGAGAATAAAGAGGGATAGGAAGTGAATCGTTTTCAAAATGGAAGACAAAGAAAAGACACGATTCGAGAACAAGAAAGTCACACAACGAATAATATGTCCTCTCACGAGGTTGATTCTTCAGCTAGCAATAGCGTAAAACCTGTAATTAAGCAATTTTAACGCTGCAAGCGTACTAGAATGTCAATATGTATACTTGTAAAATCGGTGGAAAAGCACGTATTGGATCAAAGAGCCACAGCAACATATTTACGCTTATAAGTATGTTTTGTCGACTTTAAGGGATAAACAAATCTTAGATACAAGATCGCTCTTACTCTGCTTTGGGCACCCCAAGGTGGTGTAATGGTTAACAAGCTTGTCTCGCTAGAACAATTACGACTGAGTAGTGAGTTCAATCCTCACTGGGTGCCCCTTACTTTCGGCCTTGTGCCACATCCGAGCTACGCTCGGAAAATCATTTTGGGTACCTCGAGTTGGTGTAATGGTTAACAAGATTGTCCCGCTAGAACAATTACGACTGAGTAGTGAGTTCAATACTCACTGGGTGCCCCTTACTTTCGGCCTTGTGCCACATCCAAGCTACGCTTGGAAAATCACTATATCTGCCTTTACTTCGGTTTCTCTTTATCTATGCGGTGTGGGTAACGGTGACGGATGCATAAAATGGAGTCGGCGAGCAGAGTTCAAATTCCGGCCAAGTCTGTTAGGTTCACTTTCGAACTAATGCCTCCTCTAGGAAAGACATTAATCCATTTCTCTTACCACCCAATCACCTATGGGTAGACTGGGCTCGCTTAGCTTTGGGTGACAGTCAGTCGAAGAGTAAAAATACTTTGAACTCAAAATAAATTATTTTTAAAAATAACTGTTGTTTTACTTCTTCTTTGTTGTTGTACTTAAGAATCTTAGCCATGAATTATTATCAATCCTGGTAAAGTTGTTTAACCGCTGCGTAAAAGAGAAATGCTTCCTAAATCTGTGGAAGTTGTTAGCTCTTTGCTCTGTTTTCAACCACACAGATAAGCGTTCCTCTTCATCACAGTATCTCCCCATCAGTCTCAGTGTCATTAGCAAACACTTGTCAACAAGGGTATTGTTAATCATAACCAGAGACAACCTCATGAACAGTATGGGTTTCGATCCTCTAATCCACTGCTGATGTATTCATCCATAGAATCAGTAAGCAATTTATCTCTCTTTCGTCTACTCTCTCCCCCCTCTCTCTCTCTCCCCTCTCTCTCCCCTCTACTCTCTCTTTCCTCTCCTCTCTCTCTCCTCTCTTCTCTCGCGCTTCTCTACTCTCTCTCTCTCCTCTCCTCTCTCGCACTTCTCCCCTCTCTCTTCTTTAGTCCCTCCTCTACTCTCTCACTTTCCTTTAATCTCTCTCTCCTCTCTCTCTCTCTGTCCTCTTCTCTCTCTTCTCTACTCTCTCTTCTCTCTCTCCTCTACCCTCTCTCTCCTCTAGTTCCTCCTCTACTCTCTCTACACTCTTCTCTCGCTCTCTTCTACTCTTTCTCTCTCTCTCTGTCTCTCTCTCTCTCTCTCTTCTCTCTGGAAATCTTCATCTTTAGGTGCCGTGTCCCTTCAGGGTGTAGAAGATCATGGCCCTCCACAACTTCCTGTCTCTTGTAACTCTTAAAAAATTTTGTCTTTTTGCTATTTCACCTAAACCCTGTTCTGCCTATCAAGCAGGTTACGCATTGTTTTCCTCTGTCCCTCTTTCCCTTCATCTGACCTGTGAGTATCTGATTTTCCAAACCCTCCTTCCTCATTATGTGCCGCATAAATTTCAACTGTCGCTTCATGATGTTTAGCATGTTTCCTTTTAGTTTTCATTTTCTCTAAAACCTCGTCGTTTCTCACGTTCGGTCCATGCTATCCTCAGCATCCTTCTGTAGAACCACATTTCTGTTGCTCCAAGTCTCTTCTTCATCTTCGATAGGGGTTGTCCATCATTCATTGCCACATAGGAGGACAGCCTAGCGGAAATCATATATACGAAAACGGTCGACGCATTCTTTCATCCCAGAAATTATCTAATTTATTCTACATGGTTTTATCTTTACAAGAATCAGATTAGGCCAACAAATAGAGTGTTACTGCCATAGCTGGACCGGAGATTCTCAATCTTCACTGTCCAGCCTTGATAGACTTATAAGTTATTAACACGGTCGTATGAGGGAAGACGTATTTTCCACCCTACCGCCTCTTTACTCACAGACGCAACGCTGCAAGCTTATCGCTATTTCCATCGCAAATGTTCAATTGAGCTCCACTCTGTACCAGTTCATGCCTTTACAGTTAGGCTACTCCATACTACTTCCACGGAGTAGTTTCAATCTGATTTCCCCCGTATTCCAATTGTATCGAAAAAGTTCCACTTAGATAGATTTTTTTCCCAAGAACTGCCACTTTGTGGTACAGACTCCCGCGCAGTTGCTTCCCTTCTTAACCTCTTCAAGTCAAAGGTGAATAGTGATCTAGCCTCCTTACTGTCATAACTTCCAATTCCTACCACTTTTCATTCATATCACACGCCTCTTTCATTATAACTATTTTAACAGTAATTCTCTACCTCGAGTAGGTCTCAAGCCTTAAATTGGGTGAATTCTCGTATTAACTTTCAAAACGTCATGATATCAAATCGTTGGTCAAACTGTGGAAATATATTTTATGGTTGCGTCTTTGTCGTTGGTCAAAATTCTATTATATACTTATGAAAGAAGAAACCATTTTAGTAACAAGATATTTTTTCTGAAATATTTTGTTTTTTTTTAGTAAATCTGAAACATAGCAGCCATCTTATGACGTCATCAAATTTTTACCAACTAAAGAAATTTTGTAGAACTCACTTTTATCGTTAGCAGCTCAAAAACGTCGTTTTTTATGTTTGAATGAAAATAGAAAGAAAACTAATAAAATTCAATAAAAGTCACCGAGCAAAAAAAAATTCTACATTTTATTGGGAGCTTTTCAAAAAAAATTAATTAATCTATTTAGTACAAGCAGACGATACCTCAGGCTTAACTCTAGAACACTAGCCATCAATTAAAGTTACACCACTACTAACCATGGCTATATCATACCCGATTTTGAAAATATCAAAAAAAATATCAAATATAAATCTTTATTTGAAATATTTTACATGCAGGCACTTCAAACTTTGTACTTTGAGTTAACATTAATAGGGACTGAAAAACATTATTTAGATAAGAAAATCAGGTACTTAAAATTGTAATTAAAAATAGGAAAATTTGCGCTGGGTACTATATACCGATGGTTAGTGTTCTAGGGTTAACTGAATTTAGCAGCCATCTTATGACGTCATCAAATTTACCCCAACTAAAGAAATTTTGTAGAACTCACTTTTCTCACGCCCCTATGTCATGTAAAAGCAGAAGATTGCTTAGAAAACCTTTGGCATTTTCCGGGTAAATTCCGCTCTAGCTGTTGGACAACTACATTTGATTTGCGGCTGACGAAGCGGACATCGGCGCGGAGAATAGAATCGGCGAACCGAGTTCGATTTCCGGTCTAATCCATTGCCCTGACTTTCGCATTAATTTCATCGGGAAATGCACAAATCCGTCTCTTATCCTCCCAGCTATGGGATAAATAGCAGGATGAATTGGGTTTGCAAGGACTAATCTGAATTTAAACACCATGAAGTGGGAAATACTCTCTATCTTTCGCAAGAATTCACGGTAATTTGCAGATAATAAAGAAAAGGAATATGTATGGAACCATTATTGCCTAGCTCTTGAAAACATAATATTAGTATATATATATATATATATATATATATATATATATATATATATATATATATATATATATATATATATATATACACACACAATTTTAAGACATTTTATTTTTATACATTCTTTTTATAGATACAAATATTTAAGTAAATGCTCTGTTTATAATAAACAGTAATTTTCATTTCAATCTTTTTGTCTATTTCTGTGAAAATTTCTCGGACATTCAGGCCGGTAAATGTTGTTTAATACTGTTTGTTATAAACAGAGCATTTACTTAAATATTTGTATCTATAAAAAGAATGTATAAACATAAAAATGTCTTAAAATAATTGTTTGACTTTGTCCATTTCATAATGTGTGATATATATATATATATATATATATATATATATATATGGGGGGGCGAAAGAAAATCGATACCTAAGGTTTAAAATGAATTTTTACAAATAAAAAACCTTTCTTAAAGCTTTTATTTTAGTTTTAATTTCAAGCTAATAGATTCAATTTAATATTTACAATAAGCAACTTATTTTGCCGTATTTACAAAATAATTTAATTTAATACTGGTACTCTTTTCTTTCCAAGATACATTTTCCTTTCATTCATTCTTTCTTTCGCGACTTATATCCTTCCTATTTTTTTCCAACAATCCTTTTGCTTTCCTTGCCTTCATTCATTCCTGATTTATATCTTTCCTTTTTCCTTTCAACATTCTTTTTTCCTTTCTTTCATTCCTTCATTCATTCCTGATTTATTATCCTCATTCTTTCCCTTCCAATATTCCTTTTCCTTTTTCTTCCTTAATTCATTTATGATTTATATCCATCCTCTTTTCTTTCCAAAAGTCTTTTTCCTTTCATTCCTTCATTCATTCCTTATTTATATCCTTCCTCTTTTCTTTCCAACATCCATTTTTTTCCTTTCTTCATTTATTCCCGATTGATAGCCTTCCTCTTTTCTTCACAACATTCCTTTTCCTTTCATTCCTTGACTCATTCCTGATTTATTGCCTTCTCGTCTTTCTAGAATTTTCGCTTCCTATTTCTTTCTTTCTTCGTTTATTTATTTCTTTCCATTTACCTTTTCTCGTTCGTTCCTCTTTTATTTTCAGCTTTATGTTATTCTTTCCTTCGCTCTCGCTGTCCCATCATCCCCTTCTTTTCCAGCTCTTTCGCTTGCTTCCATCATCCATCCATTCCTTCAAACTGTCATTCATTCTTTATCTTCTTACCAACACCCATTACTTCTTCCTTCCTTCCGCTAAACTTTCTATTACTTCTTTACTTGTTTTTTTCCTTCCAATTTTCTCTTTTTTTCTTTCACTTCCTTCATCTTTATTTTTCTTTTTTCCTCTTTTATTTCCTTCGTTATCTTTCCACTCTTTTTCTTGCTTTTTATCCTTCTCTTCTCTTTTCTTTCTTTCTTTCCAACTTTGTTTCTTTCCTTGTTTTATTTCTTGCTTTCTATTCTTTTCTCTTATTCCGACCTCTCGTCATCCCAGATTCTAATCCTTTTTTTCTTGCCCTCATTTCCCTCTTTCTTTCTTTCTTTCTCTCCAGATTGATTACTCCTTTTCTGTTTCCTTTCTTGCTCTATTACCTTCTCTTATCTTTACCTCTATTCTTTCTTCATTTCCTTTTTTCCTATGTTCTTTCCTGCTTTCTTTCTTTCCTTCCCTTTTCGACTTTCCTCTCTTCTTGCCCGTTTTCTTTCCTTCTTTTTTTTTCGTTATTCTTTCTTGTTTTCTTGTTTTCTTTCTTCCTCTCTTGTTTTCGGTTTTCTTTCTTTCCTTTTTTTCCCGTTATTCTTTCTCGTTTTCTTTCCTTCCCTTTTCTTTCTTTCTCTCTACTTTCCGATTTTCTCTTCTCTGCTATTCTTTCTTTCTTTCTTTCCTTCTTTTTTCTTTCTTCCTCTCTTTTTGCGACTTTTTTTTTTCCGCTATTCTTTTTTTTTCTTTTTTTTTTTCTTTTCTTCTCTTCTTTTCTTTCTTTCTTTTTTTTCTTTCTTTTTTTTTCTTTCTTTCCTTCTTTCTTTTCTTTCTTTCTTTTTCTTTCTTTCTTTCTTTCTTTCTTTCTTTCTTTCTTTCTTTCTCTCTTTTTTCACGTTTTCTTTCCTTTCAGCAGATTTTTCTCCACCTTTTTCTTTCAGTAAACTTCATTCTATTAAAATGAACTTCTTTGTGCCCTGGAACGTTTTTTTGTTATTTTGTTTTGTTTTTTTTTTATTTTTTTTTTTTTTTTTTTTTTTTGGGGGGCTTTTTTGTTTGTTTTTTACTTGGACCCTCTAAATAAATGGGGAAACCCCGTTGTACACTAAAACCTGACAGATTCTTACAATGAGAACGGTCACCTGACACTTTCTAGAAAACTGCCCCACCACCCTTCAACTGCCACTTCGTTGCCTGTCCAATCTCTCCACGTGCCGAGGATTCAAGGCATTCCTCTTCCGTTCACCCAACCATTTCCCGCCCTTTTTTCCGTTCAGCCATCCATATGCGATCTTGATTTACGGCAGTCATCTGACTGGATTCCCACCCATTGACTTCAAGTCGATTAAAGCTATGAACACGGAGGTTCAACCACACTTATATATAGCTCAATGATTAAAGCATATAATCGCATAATAAGAGGTTTGATTTGTTCTAAATCTTGTTGAAAAAACGGTAAATTTTCAATATTAATTTAAAAATCATTATTTTTATTAAATGTGTTTCTACATATATTATTCATTTATTTGCCGTGTTCCTTCAGGACATAGTCGATCATGGCTCTCCACAACTTCCTATCCTTTGTAGTTCTAGTTATAATGTTTTCTCTCCTAATTCCCCCCCGTTCATGTTCTGCCATCCATTTATACAAACTCATGGCGTACGACCATAACACGTTGAAACACCGGTTCTCGTACAATCACTGAAGTTAAGCAACACCGAGCTTGGTCAGTAGCTACATGGGTGACACCTTTGGAATATCAAGTGCTGTAAAATTGAATGTGTAGGTAGTGTAATGGACTGGAATTGGAAATTGGCGAGCCGAGTTCCAATTCCAGTCGGGTTCGTTATAGTCACTTTCGCGCAAATACCCCCGGGAAAAATAAGAATCCACCTCTTCTACACCCCCAACTATGGGTTAATTAGTAGAACTTGTATCAGTAAAAATCATTATTATCTCAAAAAATATGCTTACAGTCTAAAAATATGTTCTGGCTTTAAATAACATGAAAAAAGGTTGATAAACCGTAAAAAACAAATCAGTCGAACTATACAAGGTCGTTAGGTACAATATCTATGTTTCCCTCTGTTCCTCTTGCTTTCAATATGTCTTGTGAGTGTGATATTCTCCGTGCCCTCTTTCCTCATTATGCATCCCAGACAATTCAGCATTTTCTGATCTTAAGCAAAAGAGTTCATTTTATCCCTATTTTCCTTAAAAATTCCCCGTCGCTCACACGATTCGTTCATTGTATTCTCAGCATCCTTCTGTAGAACCACATTTCTGTTGCTTCAAGTTTCTTCTACATCTGTGAGACGATTGTCCAGTATTCACTGTCATATAGGAGGACTGATATTACATAACAGTTCAGTATACTTTTCTTTGTATCCAACGATTTTTTTTTGTTTCTTAATACTCTGCTTAGCTTTTAGAAAGCATCTTTCTCTATCCCAATGCGTCTTCGGATTTCAGTGCCACACTTTCCGTCCTCTGTTAAAAGACTTCCCAGATATTTAAATTTTTGTACTTATTTGAATTTGGCATCCCCAATCTGTAATTTACATATTGGACTGATCCCTTTTGCTAACAGACATGCATTCAGTCTTATTACAATTGATGTTTAATCTTTTCTTCTCGCTTTTCTTCACTCCTCTCTAGATGAGTTCTAGTAGTTTCCTTTCTGTATCTATCTTCAACACTGTTATCTGCATCCCATTAAGAAGACGAGTTTAGATTTCCTGTCTTGAGAAAATTGTGGCGCTCCGTGTCTCTTTTCAAAAACTCCCAAGTTTGGCCGTTACTCACGTGTTCGATTCTCAGCATCCCTCAGTAGAACCACATTTCTATTACTTCAAGTCTCTTTGAGGAGATTCTGCAACATTCACTACCATGGAAGAAGACTGATAACATAACAGTTCAGTACTCTTTGCTTTGTTTCTAAGGATTTTTTTCTGTTTCTTAATACTTTACTCAGCTTTTGGAAGGCATCTTTCGCTATCCCAATGCGTCATCGGATTTCACTGCCACACTTTCCGTCTTCCCAGATATTTAAATTTTTGTTCTTGTTTAATTTTATCTAAAACCTCTTCGTTGCTCACATATTTGGTTCATCGTTTTCTCAGAATCATTCTACAGAACCACATTTCTGTTGCTTCAATTCTGTTCTTCATCTTTGAGGAGATTGTCCTTTTAGGAGACTGCCATATAGGAGGAATGGTATTATGTAACAATTCATTACTCTTCTTTGTATTAAACATTTTTTTTTGTTTCTTAATACTCTGCTTAGCTTTTGGAAGGCATCTTTCGCTATCCCAATGCGCTTTCGGATTTTCATGTCGCACTTTAATTTAGAAAATTAAAAACAAAATTTTACTCATAAAAAACAGTCAAGTAGATAGTTTCCATTGTTTTTAGCAACTATCTTCCAACGTCCTACAAGTTAGTTGATGCCATTTTTATAGAAACTTTGTGTTGTTTTTTTTTTCTTGGAAGAAGGTTGTGAGATAGTTTTCAACTGACTGTACAGAATCAATTTCTTTTGTCATTTAAATTGTTCTTGAGAGACCAGAACAAATAAAAATCCAGAGGAGTCAAGTCAGAATAGAATCGGTTCTGGAGGGTCTCCCATTTCAACTCATTAAGCTTCTGTGAGGTCTGTTTTAATTCAGGCGGTCCTGTGTTGTCATGGAGGAAAATGACACCTTTTCGATTTGCCAAAATCAGTCGTTTCTCTTGAACCTAAGTCCCTTCAAATCAACTTTGATCTTCAAAAATTTAAATGCAATGTCAATCGTTATCTTCTGTCTTCTTAATTCTTGTTCTTTTTATTGTCTTCTTTCCTTAATAGTAGTTTTTCTCATATTCTCAACACTCAGTAACCTTTTGTGCCTTAGTGGCTTTATTGCCTTTGATCTTCAAAAATTTAAATGCAATGTCAATCGTTATCTTCTGTCTTCTTAATTCTTGTTCTTTTATTGTCTTCTTTCCTTAATAGTAGTTTTTCTCATATTCTCTAACACTCAGTAACCTCTTGCACCCTAGTGGCTTTATTGCCTTTGATCTTCAAAAATTTAAATGCAATGTCAATCGTTATCTTCTGTCTTCTTAATTCTTGTTCTTTTATTGTCTTCTTTCCTTAATAGTAGTTTTTCTCATATTCTCTAACACTCAGTAACCTTTTGTGCCTTAGTGGCTTTATTGCCTTTGATCTTCAAAAATTTAAATGCAATGTCAATCGTTATCTTCTGTCTTCTTAATTCTTGTTCTTTTATTGTCTTCTTTCCTTAATAGTAGTTTTTCTCATATTCTCTAACACTCAGTAACCTCTTGCACCCTAGTGGCTTTATTGCCTTTGATCTTCAAAAATTTAAATGCAATGTCAATCGTTATCTTCTGTCTTCTTAATTCTTGTTCTTTTTTATAGTAGTTTTCTTCTTTCCTTAATAGTAGTTTTTTCTCATATTCTCTAACACTCAGTAACCTTTTTGTGCCTTAGTGGCTTTATTGCCTTTTCTTCAAAAAAATTTAAATGCAATGTCAATCGTTATCTTCTGTCTTCTTAATTCTTCTTCTTTATTGTCTTTTTTCTTAATAGTAGTTTTTCTCATATTCTCTAACACTCAGTAAACCCTAGTGGCTTTATTGCCTTTGATCTTCAAAAATTTAAATGCAATGTCAATCGTTATCTTCTGTCTTCTTAATTCTTGTTCTTTTATTGTCTTCTTTCCTTAATAGTAGTTTTTCTCATATTCTCTAACACTGGTAACCTCTTGCGCCCAGGAGTGGCTTTTATTGCCTTTGATCTTCAAAAATTTAAATGCAATGTCAATCGTTATCATCTGTCTTCTTAATTTTGTTCTTTATTGTTTTCTTTCCTTAATTAGTTTTCTCATATTCTCTAACACTCAGTAACCTCTTTAGTGCTTTATTGCCTTTGATCTTCAAAATTTAAATGCAATGTCAATCGTTATCTTCTGTCTTCTTAATTTTTGTTCTTTTATTGTCTTTTTTTCCTTAATAGTAGTTTTTCTCATATTCTCTAACACTCAGTAACCTCTTACACCCTAGTGGCTTTAATGCCTTTGATCTTCAAAAATTTAAATGCAATGTCAATCATTATCTTCTCTCTTAATTTTTGTTTTTTATTGTTCTTGCTCCTTAATAATGTTTTTTTCTTTTTTCTTATATTCTTTCACTCTCAGAAATCCCCTGCGTCTCAGTGGCTTTATTGCCTTGTTTAGGGTGAAATAATTAAAACAATTAGATTCTGTAAACAGATATCACCTGTTTTGGGTGCGGTGACTAACCCCTATACAATGAGATGCAGTCGATGTATTCTTAAATCCAACCGTCGGGGCTGACCGAAGAAGTGATTGGCTAAAATTTTGTATTAACAACAAAAGCAACATCAGGAATTTGTTTAATAGCCGAAACAATTCTTGGAATGATAATGACTCTCCTCAATATTGTAAAAGATTAAAAAATGTATGGCTTCCATCAATTTTTGCTTCACGTTTGGCTTCATTAGGTGCAAACGAGTCTGTGTGTGCGTGAGAGAGAGAGAGAGAAAGAGAGAGAGAGTGTGTGTGTGTGTGTGTGTGTGTGTGTGTGTGTGTGTGTGTGTGTGTGAATGAGGAAAGAAAGAGAGAGTAAGAACAATAGAAATATATTCATGGTAATTGTTCTGATGAACTTTCATCTATGGTATCTAGACTCTATGAATTTAAGCGCAGTACAAGATTGGCGGCGAGGTCTCATCATTTTATTGTTGAAATAGCTAAATGTAACAGTAATTTCTATGCTAATAGTTTCTTTTCACGCACTTCTCGCTTGTGGAAATCTCTTCCGGCTTCTTGCTTTCCAGTCAGGTTTGATGTTCAAAAATTTAAATGTAATATCAACCGCTATCTTCTTTCGTCTTAAATTCTATTCTTTTATTGTTCTTGCTCCTTAATAGTGTTTTTCTTACATTCTTTGACACTCGTTAACGCCATGCGTGATAGTGGCTTTGTTACCTTACTTGAGGTGAATTGACTAAACAAAAGGGGGATATCTTGACGAACGGTATTGTGTCTGACATGCCTCGATGATTGCAGAAGAGTTAGACCTTAGCCGAGTTCTCAGCCATTTAGAAAACCGCTCTTAAATCAGCCGTAACTGCAAATAGCTGTTACCCACTTTGTCAGCCTTGATATGTGAGTGACCGTGTGTGTTTACACATTTTAGCAATACAACATCGTTTTACTTCCCGTCGTTATTGTTAATGTTTGCCTGTTTGACTTGGTAGTCAGCGAGGACTTCATTGCCGCTGCAGGGAATACAGAAAGTGTCATAAAATATATTTTATTGGCATTCGGACTGAGCGTAAATGCAATCAGTAATTACACCTTGAAGAAAAGGTAAAAACGTGGCATATCCGGTACGTTGCCAGGGCCGATTTTCCGACACCCGGGACTTGACCATCTTTTCTTTCTTTTTTTTTTCTTTCTTTATTTATTTTTTTCTATTATTTACCCAATACAAGGCTCAAGAGCCACTCAAGGTAGAGAGTTGCTGAATTAGCCCATTCGCTGATAATAAAGAAGAGGAATCAGTGGGGAGATATGACCACGTACACACTGGAAGGCATTAAAAGAAAGCCTTGTTGTATATCTGGACTATTGCGAGGGTTGACAGGTCTGGTTGATGTTCAAAAATTTCGTCGGGAAAAGAAAAAACCTGCACGTTCTTGTGAATGTGGCAGTTGCTCATTCAACAGCGCCTCACTGATCACTGAATAAACTCACCGGCGATTATCTGATTATGCGTGCGCAGCAAGGTCTCCTCGGATTGCTTTGCCAAGTTGCATTAAGGCTACACAACCGGTTCTCGAGATATTGAAAAGGACTTTAAAAGGTAAACTTTCCGGACAGACATCGTATATTACACACATGCTTCATCTTTCACCCTCCCCCCCTCTCTCATATATATATATATATATATATATATATATATATAATGTGTGCATTTAGGCAGAAAATTCTCTTTTAAACATGTCTGATTGAATAAATTGCAGGCATTATGTCTGCTAATTTTTAACAAAATCCGTTCATACTCACGAATAACGTTCCATGTATTGATGTTAAAGGATGAGAGAAATGTGCTATAGCTGTTTAAATTTCTTTTATTTTCATTTCCCAAGTACTTTCGATCTTTTTCCAAGATCATCCTCAATGTTGGAAGCAATACAAAACTGTATGCTGTTCATTAATATAAGTATTTATACAAAGTTTTACGATGTTATCCATTACCGTAATTTTTTCATTATGCTTTTAAATGCAAAACGATTGACAATGCGCTGAGCGTACATTACAACGTGAAAAAATTATATCCATAATGGATAATTTATACATATATATATACATATATATATATATATATATATATATATATATATATATATATATATATAATTGAATAGATAGGTTGGTTAATAAAACAAAGGCAAACGAAAGAGTATTGATGTGATCAGTACGAAAAACATTTATTGTTAACCACATGACAGAAATGAAGTACGGAAATTAAGGTTCTAAGTTCGGAATTTTCGGGCATGCCTGTGTCCTTTATCAGCGGATGCGAGAAATAAACAGAGGGAGGGAAGAGACTCACCAACAGTTGTTCTTGAGGCTGGTGAGAATCTTGGTGTAAATGGTATTATTAGTAAAAATCCGATCTCCGTCTGATTACTCGCTGTGCGAAACTTTTTGTGAAAATAAACTTAGATTCAAAAACTGCTATTGGTAGGAATGTGTTGAGCCGATTATCCTTGTCGTGGTGGGTAGTAGAGGAGTGAGATATTGAACATAGAGGAAAAGGGTTATAGGATTTGGGGTGGGGAAGATGTTAGTACTGAGAGATTTGGCAAGATAGGATAAGAGTGTTGGAACAGAGGGAAAAGGGTAATAAAAATAAAATGAAAGAGAAAAGAAAAAAAGAGAGGAAAGGAATAGCAAAAAAAGGATAATGAATTCTTTTGGAAGATCATTGTCAGAAAATAGGGAACGTGGTAAAAATAAACTAAAATAAAATATACTAATAATAATAATAATATATATATATATATATATATATATATATATATATATATATATATATATATATACACTAGCAGCATGGCCTGGCGTCACTCGTGCTTGATTCAAAAAATCATACGACTCATACAGCAATCGCTATCACTTAAAATATTTTTGCCCTTCCTTGCCTTTTAAAGGAGTGCCCTTTGCTGTGCTGATGTTGTTACATGCCTTACTTTTGTCTATCTCACACTGCGAATTTTTTCTAAGCTCTATACTAAACATTAAATCTGTTACGAAAAAAAGAACTAAACAAAATGAACACAAAACGATCAGCTTTAAAAAAGGACTCGTAACTGGAGATACCGAATGAAAAAAGAATGTTAACAACAAATACTTTTTCACACTCAACCCAGTTCTGCGGAATCAGAATCAACGTTGAGTTTAAGCAAGCGAATGAGCCAATTGGAGTAAAGTGCCGACTTAAATTTTTCCCACTTGTGACGAATGCAGCTATCGATTTTCTTTGCATGCTAGCATGTTAGTTAACATTCGTGTCTGTTGGCTCTCACACTGGCCAATAGAATCTTCCTGCCTATTCGTGGCAGCCAGCTATAGGCTCTCACTCTGGCCAGTAGAAAATGGCCGCAAACTACATGAAAACTGCCGTAGAAGCATGAAAAAATCGATTATTTCCGCTATCGATGGGAGTTGGGAAATGCAAAGTCGGTCTTGGCCTTCCGCTAACTTGGAGCATGTGCATGTAAATTTGGGTGCAAATCCGTCGAAAATTGCGCCGTGCATTCGTTACACATACACACACACACACACACATCCTGCCTTTTATATATATATATATATATATATATATATATATATATATATATATATATTATTTTGTATTCCTTCTTCTATGTTCTTTCAGGACATTGGCGATCATGGCTCTCCACAATTTCCTGTCCTTTGTAGCTCTTAATACATTTTTATCTTTTTGTTATTTCTCATAAACCCCAGTTCAGCCTAGTTAGGTTATGCGTTGTTTTCCTCTCTCCCTCTTGTTTCAATCTGTCATGTGAGTATCATATTTTCCAAACCCTCTTTCCTCATTATGTGCCCTACAAATTTCAGCTGTCTCTTCCTGATGTTAAGTATAACAGGCCTTTTTGTTTCCATTTTCTCTAAAACTTCGTTCATCATCCTTCTGTGTCACCACATTTCTGTTGTTTCAAGTCACGCTTCATCTGTGAGGATATTGTCCAGCTTCCACTGCCATATAGGAGGACTGATATTATGTAACAGTCTAGTACTCGTTTCTTTGTTTCTAACGTAATTTACCTTCCAAAAGGAAACATTTCAAAGAATAAATTTCAAAAATAATTTCATTTATTTGTAAATAAGTTCTGAAAGTTTAATTAAAATGCGACAATTGTCTGAATTTTTGCAAGAATTTCCATTTAATATTTTTCCCTGCAAATTCCTCATATAAGTTAATAGTCGCATGTTGACGCCATGAAAACAATTTTAACCAATATTCTGAAGGTTCTAAAAAGAATAAAAAATAATTTTTCAATGTAAAATCATTTGGTCTTTCCTCTTAATAATGATATAAAGATTTTGTCAATAAAACTTTGTTTTTAAGTTTGGGGCATTTTTTCATTATGTATGCTCGATTTTAGGAAACCTTTGAAGGATAGATAGATAGATAGATAGATAGATAGATAGATAGATAGATAGATAGATAGATAGATAGATAGATAGATAGATAGATAGATAGATAGGAATAGACCGTGATAGATAGATAGATAGGAATAGACCGTGATAGATAGATAGATAGATAGATAGATAGATAGATAGATAGATAGATAGATAGATAGATAGATAGATAGATAGATAGATGATAGATAGATAGATAGATAGATAGATAGATGGGAATAGACCGTGATGATAGATAGATAGATAGATAGATAGATAGATAGATAGATAGATGGATGGATAGGAGATAGATGGATAGATAGATGGATGGATGGATAGATAGATAGATAGATAGAATGGAGATAGATGGAAATAGATGGATGGATAGATGGATAGATAGATAGATAGATGGGGATAGATAGATAGATAGATAGATAGATAGATAGATAGATAGATAGATAGGAATAGACCGATAGATAGATAGATAGATAGATATAGAACGAGATAGATAGATAGATGAGAAGAGAGAGAGAGAGAGTAAGTGAGAAAGAGATAGACGTTCGGAGCAGAGATTTCGTATTGCAGCTCGTGGAAACAAGTTGAAACATGACAGCCATGTTGATAGTGATGAAGGAGATCTTCAACACTAAAAGAAATGGTGACGAGAGGCAATCAAACATTTTCAGTCTCCAAGATAAAAGTTAAAAAAATAAGAAAAAAATACCCAGCTCTATTTCTGATAACCACTTAAAGATAAGTCGAATGCTCCACCACCTCTGCACACACATGAAAGCCCCCGTTGTTACGCAGTTATTTATATTTAATTCGTCCACAGACGCAACACCGCCTTTCTTCCATATTGTTTCCATCAGCGATTAATTTTAACCATTAACCATTATCTCCATTACAGCCAAACGAGATTTGCTGTGTAAATAGTTGACATGGTAACTTCCCAAGCTCTTAGATCCAGCACTCACTGCCTGCCGCCAAATTATAACTCACTGCTAGACTATCTTAGTAAAGCCACTCCTCATTTAAGGACCCGGTTTCGTTCCTACGACCTGGTCGCAAAACGAGGTGATCGTTAAACGGGATGGTCGCTAAATGAGTGGTTGCACCTGACCGCTATTTCAACATTTCTAATCTAATTTCTGTTTATCTGATTTATGTCAGGTCGCTCTACGAGGGCAACTGGTACCATGTAACCCAGCACGACCTGTTGCGTGGTCAGGCTATTTGTGACTAAACCAGTTCTCTCACTAGGCCTTTTCTGGGTCAACGGCCATCTCGCACATTGGAGGGTCCCCATAACTATATACGCAATCTGTATGGTGATGACATGGCATCACTGAGCGCGGTGGGAGAGTCTCCAACACTGAAGTCAGGGATAGAGAGTCCCCCCTCCCCTTATGGAATCAACAGTTACGTGTCTGTGACCAAGACTAGGCTTACAGTTGGAGGTCATCGGCTGTGGTTTGACCTAAAGAGGGATAGGCTCTGCTAGGTCTACTTACCCCAGACGCACCACATACGTCTCCGACTCTGACGTGTGGAGAGAACTGGTCAGGTGCCCAGCTGCACAGGGACACTATGGACACACCTGGTCATAGGACTGATGATGAAGATGATGAATTTATTTCTTAACTAGCAGTAGAGCCCGGCGTGGCCCGGGGATCTAACAGTAAGAGATAGATCAAGTATCGACCATCATAAAGACTGAAAAATAAAATTGACAAAGATTATTGTTTAAGGTTGACGGACACGCATGTCTTAAATAGTTTGTTTTGTGCTTTTTTTTTACGAATTGGTCAAACCCAAACTCAAACAAAAATATTGTTTTCAATCGTTATGAGTCTACCGATTGAATAGAATTTTATTATAAACAATTGTCTTGTAAATGGAATTTTTAAAGCATTCTGAATGCAAAAATAAGGAAAAGTGTGCAAGACAATAAGAAACACTAACTGCCAAAAAAAAATGAAGTTTTGTTGAAATCGGTTGAAAAATTTAGGAAATCCAATCCCATATATAAAGGAACACACACACACACACACACACACACACACGCACAATCAACCTGGATTTTATAATAAGTATAACTCGATAACTCGATATTAATAAGTATAACTCAATATGAGTTGTCCCCCTTTCATTAATGCCTCTTAATTGTGTTTTCAAATTGATTTCGTGCAAAAACAATTGTGTTTTTCCAATTTTTGGCGCTGTCAGAACCACTGCAAGGTAATTTTACGTAGTCCTGTGAAGTTTTGTTGAAATCGGTTGAAAAATGTAGGAAATCCGATCCAATATATAAACGTACAGACACACACACACACACATACACAATCTGCGTTTTATAATAAGTAAGATGTTTATACAATACAGAGCAGTAAACGTAATAAACAAATTCGAAAATCAGCTGTATATTCTGTACATGACTTCGGTTTCCACACATTCAGTGTGCGCACAGTAGCGTAGCTAAATGGGGCGGTTTCCCCCCGAATGACAATTTTTTTTGGGGGGGGGGCTTTTGGACCTGCTGTATAAGCCTCTATAAGCGGTATTGAAATAAAAGTGGGTTTAATGTCAGGACACTACTCACAGTTGAAGTACTACCTTTTCGATTTTGAGTAGCTTAAACTACGGCATTCAAGCGATTGTTATCTTGAGCGAATAATAAATATTATCCAGTGATGCATTCAGGACTGTTTTTATCATTGTTGACAATGTAAAACCTGTGAAAGGACCCAGGATGCATTCTTTTAATGCCATGACACTGCTGCATATGGGAGACACATCTTAGTTATTATTAAATAAATTTCAGTTATTTTCCTTGGCAGAAATTCGTTTGAGTGTATTTTTGCTCTATTCGGCATGTTGATTATATATATTACATAAAAATGAAACTCTATTACTCCATTCAGATAGCCATTTCACTCCGGGATATTCTCCCGGGGGCTTGCCAATGCAAAAACGTTTGTGCATTTGACAAGCCCCAAGGAAAATATACCGGGGTGAATTGGGCATATGAATAGAGTAATAGTTTCATTTTTATGTTATTCATTTATATGCTCTATAATAAATATATTGAACTCTCTTTTGTGAATCAGTTTTAATATTTTATATTATTAGGAGCTACTTGGATTACTTACCAAAAGATATATATATATATATATATATATATAATCAGATGTTATTTTTTAGTGGATATTCATATTTGAGCAGCAAACACAAGAGCGGCACAGACTCTAGCTACAGCACTGTGTACGCTAGAAATATGATAAGAGTACAAGGCAGAACGAAAAATCAAAAATGTTGGGCGGTGAATGGTGATCGACTGTGTACGTGGGGGGGGTATTAAGTCTCTCTCTCTCTCTGACTCCAGGACTCCACACTACCTTATGCCGATTGGTTGGATTTTCTTTAATGTTTTAAGATTTTATAGTTGGTCGTAAGTCCGAGGCTTTAATTTGGTTTGTCGTTAAGAGAGGAATAATTGTTGAAAGGGTTGTTTAAGTAGATTTGCTATGGTACAGCTTGATACAGACGGGGATCTTCCATTACTATTCTTATATTTTCAACGACACTAGATTATCCCACAAGCGAGAAGTGCAAGAAAAGAAACTGTTAGCATAGAACTTACGGTTGCATCTCAACTGTAAAAACGTACTTTGATCTGTTTATCAGATTAAGATAAGATTTAAGATAAACATTTTCCAGTTTCCATGTGCTATGTCCCTTCAGGATGTGGACAATCACAGCTTCCATAACTCCCCAACCTTTGCAAATCTTAATTATGTTTATATTTTCACTGTCCCTCACACTTCCTGTTCTGCCATCCATTTACATAATCTTGTTAGGTAAGTTACTGTTATGGAGTGATTTCACAGTGGAGGCTTGTATTTGTACTAAGTCGGTCCTAAAATAGGTTCGACGTACAAAACGTTAGGAACTTGATATAATAGGTATGACGCAGAGTAATCTAGACTAACGATCGTTCGGCATCGACTGACTGACCGACCCACTGCGCGACTCACTCGTTACTCTTACTACTCCTACTTATTATAGGTGGGAGAGTCTATTAACTATAGAATAGGTGTGTTCCACTATAACAGTTACCCACCTGTTGCCCTCTGTATGTTAAATTCTCCGGGCCCTCTTTCTTGAATGTGTGTCCCAGAAAATTCAACTGTTTCTTTCAATTTTAAATATATGCAGCTTTTTTGTTTTTATTTTACATAAAACTTTATTGCTCAGATGCTTTGTCCATGGTATTCTCAGTATCCTTCTGTAGAACATTTGTTCTCTCTAAACATTATTATCATTGCTGCTCTACTGTAATAACAATGGTAGCTTTCCTCTATGGTACCTAGACTTCATGAATTTAAACACAGTACCAGATTGGCAACAAGATCTCATTTTACTGTTAAAATGGCTAGATCTAAATTCTATGCTAAGTTTCTTTTTTGCCACACTTCTCGCTTGTGGAACTCTCTTGCGACTTTTTTTGTTGAAAGGTTTAAATGCAATGTCAATCATTTTGTCTTCTTAATTCCTGTTCTTTTATTATTCCATCGCCTTTCTTTTATTCTCATATTCTTTCACATACAGTAACCTTAGTGGTGAAATAATTAAATAAAAAAAGAAGGTAATAATAGAAAAAAATTTAAGAGACAAGGGGGTTATTGAGAATGAAAAACACCAAGAGAGGACAATACAAGAACAGGATTCGAGGAGACAGAAGATGGAGACTGTTGCATTACAGAGTGAGTAAGCAACAAGGAAGTCTTAGAGAAAATAACAAAAAGAACACTTTTACTTGAAGGCGGGTCTGGAAAACTTGACTCTCACAGTGTATATCAAAGGCAAGACTTGTGGGAACTCTCTTCCAGCCTCTTGCTTTCATGTCAACTTTGATGTTCAAAAATTTAAATACAATATCAATTGTTATCTTGTCTTCTTAATTCCTGTTCTTTTATTGTTCTCACTCATTAATGTTTTTCATTTTCTCATATTCTTCCACACTCAGTAACCGCTTGCGTCTTAATGGCTTTATTGCCTTGCTTGGGAAGAGATGATTAAAAAAAAGAGAGAGATGGAAAAGGCAGTATGTCACCTACCTGACAAGCTCATGAGAATGGATGACGAGACAGGAGACTTGGTAAAGGGAGATATGTTGCAAAGGGCCACAAGGAATAGAAAGCTGAAGTGAGCTATGAACGGCCACGTTATGAAGGGACACAACACACAGAAATTGACAGGAAATCAAGAAGCTAAAAGAGTGTCCCACAAGTGAGCAGCGGGAGAGATTTGTTGTCCTTTTATCAGTGAAACACGCCTGTACTTCAAAAAATAAAAAATAAAACAGAATTCAGTACGCACTTGTAATATTTAAAAAATCCTTCCAATTTAATGTCAGGATATCAGTTAAAATTGCACATATACTGGCATAGAGGCGGACGTATACGGAATAAGGGTCCAGTTTAGTGATATACTTATGCTGTAAATTGAACATTTAATTTAATAATGCCTGGTCATTAAGTCAATGCCCACTTTAAAACTGCTTTGTGTAATTATACTTTAAAAAAAAAAAAAAAAATAATTTTCTCACAAATGAACAGTCCCCTTACCCGGAGAA